TCTCCATCACTGTCCATTGATGTTTTCCCTCTCTCTTTCTCCGCTCCTCGTCCTCTCTCCTCTCTTGGTTGGTCTTGGAAAAAGAGCTGCATGCCTCCACACTTCTGGACAAGACTGATGGCTCGTCAATAGCATTAGCCAGCATTGCAGGCCTCACTGGTGTAGAACCGAATCAATAGGGCCCAGTAAAAAGTCTTAGAGGTGCGCACAGCCCATTTCAGCCGATCCTCATGTTACCAAAGATGAGTTTTTATAAGAATCCAGGAGTCGCTGCCTAATTTATTCTCTTTATTGCTGTATTTCCCCAGTTAGTCAATAAAAGATGAGTGTTTCTGCTCGCCATCACTTCCTAAGAAAAATTAATGAAAGATTAATGTTCCTCAGAATAATATAGTTGTAGCAAAATCTGCATCCTTGCAGCGACATGTAAAATCTGTTTTTCCTTCACAAATTCTTCCAATTTATTTCTGATTAAGGTTTACCTATACAATCAATTGTTCTTGAAAGAAAATTGATTTCTGCTTTTACTCCTGCACTGATGTTAGCGGAGTCTGATCAGCTGAAACCAGATACTTCATTTGGGAAAGCCGAGATAATTTGGTTTTCTGGTAGGTTCATTTCACAACAGATTTGAGACAGAAATTAAACGGCGTTTCCTCATGTTGTATTTCAGTAGGCTCAATTCGATTGGGGACCAAAATTGCAACATTTGCTAAATTTTTAGCTGGTGGTTTGGTTTCACACTGCTCTGTGGCAAACGAACCAAACCAACTGAAAAACCTGTTCCCCTCCTCGCCTGTGGTGGCGCTACACCAAGAACTACTGAAGGAAACAACATGAAAACCTCTGAAGACGACACGAGCGCAACTTCCTTCTTCACAAAATGTAATCAAAAATTTAACTTTTGACTTCAGTGAACGGCCTGAAACCATTTCTCCTGCTCGCGTTAGACTCACATGTTTGGTTGTTTTTACCCAGAATGCCCTGCTCTGTGGTCCACCTCCTGCTTTTGGCGAAGTCTCTAGTTCACATGGCATGAGACCGAGGTTTGTTGGAGGGCCAGTTTGCTTTTTTGACCCGACTGCACACTGGACCTTCGAGAGAAACGAAGTTTGTCTCAAATCTGTTGTGAAATGAACGTACCAGAAAACCAAATTATCTCAGCTTTCCCAAATGAAGTATCTGGTTTCAGCTGATCTGAATGTGAATGCACATTAAAAGTTTGGCTCTGTGGAGATCAGACAATCGCTCCATTAGTTCAATGAAAACACAACAGTGTAGGAAAACACATCTGTCCATTGTACATGGACCAATGCCCAAATAAGACAGCGTGATTTTTAAACATGCTTATTCATGTGGGATTTTAACTGCATTTCTTATTTTATGGAAACACCAGAATTATGCCATACTGGAAATCCTTCTGAAAAAACAGTGGTAAGGTCCGAAGAGTTGGTTGCATATGAACTGGTGTTTTGAAACAGAAGCATTCATAACCTGAGGTGTTCTTTGATCTAGAATCGCATGTCATAGATGATGATGTCATAGATGATGATGTCATAGTTCTGGGGAAAGTCTTGCTTCTGCTCATTGCTATGGAAACGATCAGACCAGTTCTGCATGACCCAAACTATTAACCCTTTGCTACAGCATCACTCATTCATTCGAGATGCCATGATGTTGTGGACATTCAATTAATGAGTCACCTCAAAGTTCTTTGATGGTCGTAAAATAGCTATGATGTTTGATTCTGGGGAAGAAAGTGTAGGAAATGTTTTATGGGTTGCTTTTAGCCCGAAACTATATGGGGCATCCTTGGGGCATCCTTGGGGCATCTTTGGGGCATCCTTGGGGCAACCTTGGGGCATCCTTGGGGCATCCTTGGGGCAACCTTGGGGCATCCTTGGGGCATCCTTGGGGCATCCTTGGGGCAACCCGAGTCACTGAAACCAACCTGGTTCAGTAACAAGTGCAAGTCGTAATTAGGCCTGTCGCGATAAACAATAAATCAATTAAACAAGTTATGAAAACCTTGTTGATCAGAAATCAGACACATGGAAGTCTGCATAAACAGAGATTACAGCCAGTCTGAAGTTTGAACAAATTTGGAGTTTGAACAATTTGTTTAAGCCATGCAGGGATTTTACAGCACACGACTGCAATGATTGCTAAAATCAAGAAATGGTAACACATTTTGTTGGATGACAAACTATCCCAGAAGTTTTTGTGATAAATAATAACAATAATATTGTTGTTTTGAGACAGCAATGCAAAGACATTCTGAAATGTCAATTGAAATTTAAAGTCTAATGAACATTTAACAGTGGAACTGGAAGACATTTCAAATATCCAAAATAACAGAAACATTAAACAAACGGTTTTATGAAGTCTCTGTAAAGACAATTAACCTTCAAGAAAAGGCTTTGTTGAGACAAAACCTGAAGACTTTTGTCATCCAGTTTTGATAGAAAGAGAGAGAGAAAAGGAAAAAAAAGATAAATCATGGAAATGATTGAGCTTCTTTTCATTTGCAATTCATTGACTTATTTAATGGTAAATCTGGATGGAGGTTGTCAGAAACCAGGCTAGTCTTTCTCGACTCCAGCTTAAACAGAGTTTACTTCAGTTCTGGACAGGGTAATTGCCGGTGTAACCCACATAAAGTTAAGAAATAGAGATCGGGTAGGCGGGGTGGTCTGCCTGGCCAATGGAAGTTTGGTTTCCATGAATGTTTAGACCAATCAGAGAGCGGAATGCCACAGAGGCTCCTCCTTCTTTCCCGTGTTGGCAGCGTTGATTATGAGCGGGAGATCCGACCCTGATGAGACAGCTGAGACAGAATCAGTTTTTTTTTTCCTGGATTGTTCCTGGAGTGGATTCCTCTATTGACCTTGATGGCGAGCCTTCCCACCTGGACTTAGAAAGAACTGGATTTCCTGCCTTGCATTTGGAGCCCTGCTGCACCCTGCTGCACCTACTGCGCCCTAATGCACCCTGCTGCACCCTACTGCGCCCTACTGCACCCTGCTGCATCCTGCTGCACCCTACTGCACCCTGATGCGCCCTGCTGCACCCTACTGCACCCTGATGCGCCCTACTGCACCCTGATGCGCCCTGCTTCACCCTGATGCGCCCTGCTGCACCCTACTGCACCCTGCTTCACCCTACTGCACCCTGCTGCACCCTGCTGCGCCCTGATACGCCCTGCTGCACCCTGATGCGCCCTGCTTCACCCTACTGCACCCTGCTGCGCCCTACTGCACCCTACTGCACCCTGCTGCACCCTACTGCGCCCTGCTTCACCCTACAGCAGCCTGCTGCACCCTACTGCACCCTGGTGCACCCTACCACACCCTGCTGCACCCTACTGCACCCTACTGCGCCCTACTGCACCCTGATACGCCCTGCTGCACCCTGCTGTGTGGTAGGCAGTTATCACTCATATCTGTATGAGACACCGACTGACATTTTTCGTTGTTGTTTCCTGGAAATTTTGGACTTTGCTTTTCGGACCGTTTTCTTTTATTTGACATTACAACAAACTGCTGTGCAGGAAATTCTCCTCATATGAATGATGTTGAGTGAGACCTGAATCGGGATTTAATTTGATTGATTTATTGTGAAAAAGATTAGAGTGCAGATTACCAAACAGATTTAAAATTGATGTTTAGCACTTGGCCAAGTATTGTTTTTATTTTATGTATTTTATTGTGTGTAATTTTATTTTCTTAATTGTGTGTCTTGTCCAATTGTGAGTTTATGGTTTATGTTACTAAAGCTAACCCTTTAAATTCACTCAACTGTGTTTGTGTGTCATTTAAACACCCATCGTGCTCCGACAGCCGAACCTATTGGCCCATCTATAGGAACATCTTGGACCCTTCTTTACTGTGTTACACCAGCAGATTTAAGAATGGACGATAATGTGGAGATACCAATGAAGACATAATAAATCTCTACAAAGGCAAGAATTTCGATGGAAAAATCTGGTGAGATTTTTTCACACCTGCCCAGAAATGCCACTATGATGGAAATCCTTCTGCATGTTGGAGAAAATGTAGAAATCAAGACGCAAACCATCATTACGTCTTCTGGGACTTCCCAATTATAAAAGATGACTGGAAATAAATAAAGATATTTTTAATGATGTAGATGCCTGATTCACTTCGGGACCAAAACTGAAATATTTGTTACATTTTCAGCTTCTGTTCTCTTTCTCTCTGCTCTGAGTCAAACCAACCGAACCCTTTGATCAACCTGTTCCCCTCCTCACCTGCGGGGGCGCTGCACCAAGAACCACTGAAGGAAACAACACAAAAACCTCTGAAGAAGAACAACTTCCTTCTTCACCAAATGGAAACAAAAGTGAAATAGCGTCAGATTTTAGCGCTTGGAGGGTTTCTCTTTTGTCTTTGGTAAAAAACCAGGATCATTTCTCCGTCTAGTCGTTTCTAATTGGTCTTTGAATTAAACTTCAATTCAAAGACCAATTAGAAACGACTGATTTTTGTTTCCAAAAATCCGTTGACGTTGACAGATTGGATTGTAATTTGTGTCTAACTGAAGACCAATAAACTTCGACTCATTTATCAGATTTGATTAAACAGACCTGATTTCTGAGTGAACAGGGCACTTCTGCTGTAACCGTCTTTAGTTTGTAAATTCAGTATTTTAATTAAGATTATAGATTTCTGTTAATGGAATGTGAATTTAAAATGTAGCGTAGCTGTATCCTGACTTCAGTCCCTTTTTAATTTGATTTCACCTTATAATCAGACAAAGGGATTTTACCTCCGTCAGGTACTAATTGACTAACCGCAGCACCATCTTCTCATGCCCCAACATCTTTTAATAACTCAATTAATCTAATCATCCACTAATTGGTCAAGATAGCCTTTTCCCAGTGGGTTATTGTTTTATCATGGAGCAACTGAAGAGCCCTGAAATCACAGTGTCTGATTAAACGCAGCTGGATTTCACACACAAACATGACAAAATGCCAGTGACTGATAAATCTTTAATATAAAAATTGTACAAGAATTCTGATACAAATTACAAGAGGTATTTGGACAAAATATGAATAAAATTCCATTTACATCCCAAAACCCTTATGCATTTTATGCAAAAAAACAGACAGTTATGATACAGAAACAAATACAAGAAAGGCTAAAAATAAAGAAAAAGAAAAAGTCTCTTAAAAAGGATCATTTTTGTCCTTCTGTCTGCACACGGGAAACACCTCTGCAGGTAACATACAGTATCAATGAAGCTTCCAAAGTCAGCTTTTTACCAGCAGAGTGATGCGAGATCCTTTGCTCTTTTTTTTCTTTTTTGTTAGTTTTTTGCAGTGCGACTATGAAGCCATGCAACGCTGTCGAGTGTAACAGGCTTTTTTTAAAACAGACACTAATGCATCGGATACTCAAAAACACGAGTGAACGAACGTAAAACAAAAAAATCTAATTTCACCAGCTCTTTGAACTATTTCTACTTTAAGACTGCAAAACAAAGTGAAAATTGAATGTAAAACTTTTTATTAATTTACAGTATTTTGTTCTCACAGGTTCCAGTTGGAGTTGATGAGGGATTTCTGATCTGTACAAATCAACATGTTTTTTTTATTAATTATTTGCATAATGACGTCCCAAACATTTGGGACGTCATTATGCATAATGACGTCCCAAACATTTCACCCCGAGCTACATTGGCTGCACCCATCAGCCTCTCCTCTTATTGTTCTCACTCATAAAGAAAATGGACAGGTCGGCCATTTTGTCCCCGGCTCCCTGCGTGTCCCGTGAGGAACTGTGGGAAAATGGCTGATCGAATATTTGAGGTTCACTCCGGCGGTTTGGACAGCGCTAAGTGAAACGGACGGTCACCGGCTAGCAGAACGTGTCAAGTTAACAAAAACCTCGAAGGGAAGGGAATCGGGCGGCCATTTGTCATCAACAACCACGAAGAAGGAACTGGTGGCGCTCCGTTTCCTGTCAGATGACATGTCCAAAACACCATCCATACTCTCTGCCTCTCAAAATGTCTCCGTCCCGTTGGGCCAGATGTTTCTGGCGGCTTGTAGCTTTAAGCTAAACCGTCTCAAACCCGACACTGAAAACTGGTTATTAAAGGGACTCGGCTGAATGTTGAAGGATTTGTTTCGTCCTGGTTTTACCAAAAGGTTAAAGCACTTTAAACCTTAACTGAACTCCTTTTTTTCATATACCCGATGAAATGTTTGTTTTTATCTCTCCTAATTTGGATTTAATTCAAATAAAGCTGTGAAGCAGGTGAATTCGTGGGCAGATGCTGACTGCTCCAGCAGGCTCTTCTGAAATTACAACACATTAATCATTAAACTGAAGTCGGCCTCATTAGTGTGACTGGTGAATTAAACTCTTATTAGACCAAGAACTGAGGTTTTACATAATAAAAGTAATTTTAGACTCTTATTTTGGCACAATACAGGAAGTAGCTGTTGTGCTGTGTTTGTCAGACTTTATAAAGAAGCTGCTTCCTGGGATTATAAAGTCTCATAAATCTGAATATTATCACTTTTAAACGGGACTTTGAGTTTTAGAAAACAAAAGAAGCGATGAGGGACAGGAGTTGGAGCAATGTGGAAGTACTGAGAATACTAAGAGAGGTGAATGTTAGCTGCTACCGTAGCTAACGTTGAGCCAAAGGGGATTTCCAAAGAAACTTGGAGAACAATTTTTATGGTCTCTACATAAAAATGTTAAATACTTTAGTTAGACCTGAATACTTGATGTTAGCTTCTTTTTCTTTGAAATGCAACCTGACTCAAAGTTATTTTGCTTTTTATAATGGATTCTTCTCCTTAGGAAAAATGCATTCAGATGTCACCAACCCAAAAACAATTTATGACAAATATCTAGTATTAAAGTAAGATGTATGATTTCTTTCCTTTGTGAGCGAGTATCAGCTTCCTGGTGTGACGTTGCTACTAAAAGAAATGAACAGAACATTTGTCTTTCCTCTAACTACAGGTTAGGGTATCATCTCGGGACGCCGCTCTCCAGCGTGTACCACTCTGGATGTTTCTGTGCTGGAGAGACAGCTGTCAGCAGGGTTCCTGCAGAAGCACTTTTTTTATTTCTGCTGGAGCGATTCGATGAGCGAAGAGGCAGCGAGCGCCTCGCTGAAGCTCACTCCAGGGAGAAGGCAGGGGTTCCTGTACTCAATTTTCCCTTCACTTGGGATAAACAGGCAATTACCCATCCCTCTTTGCTATGCCATGGCCGTCCGGTGAACTTAAGCATACACTATTAGCGCGTGTCCCTGTAGGATCTGCGTTGCGGCGTGTGGAGGTGGTAAGTGAGTAGCAGGATGAAGGAACCGGTAAATGACTGCTCTGACAGACAAAGAGACAAAGACGAAAAAAAGAGAAAAAGTACTGAAATAAATTACTGCCAACCCTGAAGGAGAATAAGCACAGAAAATGAAGAGATGAACTGAATTCAGCTTAATTGAGTGAGTCAAATTAAATTGTTTGGAGCACGCTCTCATCCCTGGCTTTTCTCCCTCTGTCAGTGTCACAGTCTTGTCAGCAACCTTGACGTCTGGCAGTGTAACAAAGTGACAAGTGAGTTATTAGACGGAAGAAGCTGGAATGGCGGGATGCCTCCAGGTAACAGGGAAGCAGCACATTTTTAATGATCGCTGCTGTCATCCTTTCCTCCCTAGTCAGCCTTCCACCTCCGCAACCTTTCCATCAACCTCAGCTCCTCTTTATCTCAGAGACAGGAGGCGCAGGAAGACCGGGCGCCTCCTGTAGGCGGAGTCTTAAAAAAACGCATGAGAGGTTTGAGGCGAACGGGTCACGACGTCTGCAGCAGCGCGGCTGAAAGAAGAGGAAGTGGATGTAAGGTGGTGTTTATACTGTACAGCACTGCGCTCCTTTCCCACCACCGTGTGTTAGCACCAGTCGAGTAAGAGTAGATCTCCTTACAGAGAAACAAGTGATTTTTTTTTTTTTTTTACAAAAAAATAAAAACCTTTCACTGGACAACATATATCACCCACTAATAAATACCCTTTCCTTTGGCTGCTTTCTCCAACTAATTAAAATCTGTGTACCGTGAGGGGCTCTTTGCAACCAAAAGAAGGAAAACAACATTTGCAGAATATATGTGAAGGTGGAGCTCAGCGGTGGAAAAAACAAAACAAAACAAAAAATCACAGTTAACGTTTTAAGACTCAAGTGCATCGTATTGATTAAATGGTGCGTGATTTTAAAGACAATGTCTTGTTGAAAGAGCTTTTTCTTAAGCAAACTCAGGCATTTTGGTCACATTGGAAGATTTTTCTTTCATTTCAATCTGCGGATGTTTGTAAAAACACCAATTATTTCTTAAAATACTCAACCTATTAACATTTTTTGTTTATAATATAGATTTAGGCCTTGTACATACGGTACTTATGAAAACAAATATTGTACACATGGAATCGATTTCAGAAAAGTTTTCATCCACATAAACTCAAACAAATCCGTTCCTCATTGTTGCTTTTAACACGCCAAACCCATAGGGGGCAGTACAGCGCAAAGCTCACACCTACATTCAGCCATTCAGATCACTTCAAAACAACTGTGACTTCCTGTCAGGAGTTAAACATGGCGCCTGGAGGTACAAATACATGTATGACCATCGTTGCATTTAGCCGTCAAGTTGTCAACACAACGCGCTAAATCTTCACCGTACGACTGATAGGTAAGAGAAAAAAGGACGCAGTTTTTTCTACTAATTGCCAACACTAAGACAACAAGACAAGATCCAAGTGTGTCACATTTCACAGGTTAGGAAAGGTTAGAGGGAAGTAGGTCAGCTATGCTAGCTTGACTTTGACAACCTTAACATCTAGATGTGCTGCAGAATTCGGTGATTCACTTCAGTGAACAAAACATGCAAACACAAATAGAGTTTCCTCAAAGCTCCAGTTTGGTTGGAGTTTACATTAATAATCATTTTTAGTGATGATAAAACTGAGTTTTTGTGTGGATGAAAGGCAATTTGTTTTCCCTGAAGTACGTGTGGACTAGGCCTTATTCTGTGTTTACTTTGACTAGGTCATAAAAGAGTTGGGAAACATTTCAGGTTTTTTTCAGAGGCTCTGAATCTGAGCGCATGCAGAAAGAAAGCGTTTGAAGGTTCTATTGCTTCATCGGCAACGAAGCCGCCGTGGACCCCCACTTTAATTCACCATTGCAGAAATCCTCATTAATTATTACACATTCCCCCTTGTATAGATGCAAAGTGCAAAAACAGAAAAGAAATTAAAAAACAGAAATACAGAGAATGATATCAGTGTAAGAGCCTAAAAGAAGCATGCCGGCAACCTCTGAATATCCAACAAGCAGTTAAAACAATTCACATGATCCTGTTTATTTTCCCCCATGAATCAGATTCAAACCAACGAAAATGAGTCGTCTTTAGGGATGCTACCTCTTTCTTGCCTATAGATGGAAGTATCGTACTGTACTGTAACATAAATCCAATAAAAAGAGAGGAAAAGGAAGCAAACAACCATCAACACAACTCTTACACCAAAAAAGCCTCTTGGGACGTTATTTACAAATGGAGCTGTCATGCTTTGTAAGGGGTCCATTTAAAAGTTATCGATACACAAATACAACAAGAAGTTTTTCTCTTTTTTTCTCAGAACTACTGTTTCCGCAGGCAAAGTCACAAATAAAGAGTTTGAACAGATTCTTTGGACGTAGACGTAAACACAAAGAGTAGAAGATCGAAACAAAAACAGACGGAGGGGCTAATGAGTAAAATCACCTGGAGCTTTGCTATAAAGTAAACTCCGAGCCGATTGGCGTCATCCTGTTCTTCCAAAGAAGGAAAAGTCAAAGGACACAATGATAAACTTCATCTAGAGTCAATCATTTTATACATGGAGAGAGTAATGTCTTGCAGTGACTTACAAAGGACGGGGCTTACAGCTTGTACTCGACGGAGGAGGAATGAAGGAGCAGAGGAGACAGGAGGGACGTCGTTTAGTCTAGGATGGTAGAGAAGGGCATGTTTTTATGGAGATTCGGGTTCTGAGAGTGTCGGTTGCGGCTGCGCACGGAGCTGAACACCATGTTGCAGCCGGGGATTTTGCACTTGTGCATCTCGCGCAGGTGCACAGTCTTGTAGTGCACGCGCAGGGTCCCTTTGTTGCTGTAAACCTTGTGGCAGATGTTACAGAGGATCCCACCGCTGCTGCCATTACTGCCCCCTGTGGACGAAAGAAGGAACGGCGACGAGGACGAGTCCAGCTCCTCATCTTGTCCTCCTTTGAGTACTCCGGTCTCATCCCGATGTCCGCCTTCCGCCCGCCGGGAGAGGTCCTCTCCCTCGCTGTTGCCCTCATCCTCTTCCAGGTCATCCAGGAGGATGCCTTCGTCGCTGCCGTCTTCGGACTCGTGTGAGGAGTGGATGCTGCTGCTGGACTGAACACTGGAGGTGGTGCTCAGGTCCAGCACCATGTAGTCGTCCGGCTGGCCCCGGAACAGGCCGTTGGTGTGGTGGTTTCTAAGGTCGTGGTTGAAGGGATGGCGGGGGTATTCGTTGCTCATGTGGGAGAGGGGGTTATGGGTCAGGCCAGGGAGGCCGAGGGCGGCGCCCCGGAAGCCCATCCTGGCCATCGGGTCCAAACCCATGTGGTGCCCGGCGTAGAGCTTGGCCAGAAACTCGGCTCGCAGGTCCTTGGGCAGTGGCGTGAGTTGAGGGTCGAGGACAATGTCGTCCAGCTCTTTGGTCAGCAGTTTGCGGTGCAGGTTGATGTTCGAGCTGTGCCTGGCGGAAAGAGAGAGGCGGTTAGAAATCAAAACCCAGACAAAACCAGTCAGTCTTAAAGGGGCGGCCTTCAATCAACCAGCTATGTTACCGTCAGTCGTTATAAAAATTGGATCAAATTTTACTTCATGGTTTAATGCTTGGAAATTGGGTCTCTGTCTTTTTAAGAAGCTCCCGCTCTTTCTGAAACTCCGCCTACAGGAAGTCATCACAACATGGCTCCTCTATTAACCCTTTACCAACGTTTTTACCTGAGAAGCATTATGAGGATTTATAAATGTGTAGTTTCAGTTGTTTGCTAATTTCTGCTGGCTAGTTTGAAGGAGACGAATAACTGAAGAAAATTTGTATTAACATGAGCTACAACAACATTTAATTTTCCTTTGGGGCCAATAAAGTATTTTTGAATTTGAATGGGGGAAGTTGGTTAGCTTGGAAACTGCAGCTCAGAGGTGGAGCTACGTCTTGGAGGCGGGGCTACGTCCACCCAGGCGTTTTGCTCAGCTGGATGTTTGCCATGGAGATTAAAGGATTTCTCAAACATGGACGAAAGAATCAAAGCAACAACCCAGGTATGTTTTTGATGAAAAAATGATTTTACATGATATTGTCCCTTCCACTGTGCAAAGTTTGAAATTTTCAGGGTTTCTTTTCTTTTAAAGTTGTCTTGATCAGAGATTCTCTAAAGGCCTTTCAAATCATTTGTCAAATGAACAATATCTGCAAGTAATTCCTTTTAGCAGCCAGGAAACACCTGAGCGATGCGTCATCCTTCAGCTCATCGGCTGCCCTTTGCTCCCTGCTGTCAGCTCACCAGGAACCGCCTGTATTACCCTGAAGGCCTTTGGCGGAGAAGCCACTAGAGATGCACGGAGATATCGCATTCGCACAGCTTTCATTTTCACTGACACACAGCTTAGGTGCTGAAAGGTTGCGCTAACCGTAACACTCTTCAATAACTACAACTGCAGGAAAAAGATGCTGCAAGAAGCTCTGGAGCCAATAGAAAGTGTTCACTCATCATCAAACAATATTTACATCTTTGGTTTGTTAGTGGTTTCCTTAATATAATTCTATTTTTATGTCACATTAATCATCTGGATGCAGATTGGAGTCCAGTTCGCCTTGATCAGAGGTTCCCAAGCAGCTTTAGCTTCTGGGTGGAAACGAACGAATGCTAACAAACAGAAACAAATGCTAACAGCGCTAATCGCTAATAATGTGAGTCCATACAGTTATATCTTGTTTTGTTTTTATTAAATCAGTAAAATCATGTTTTACAGCGCGGAGCTGTCCGGTAGCCTTTTCATGTGACGATATAAATCAAATCATGTCAAATTTCAAATTGGAATCTTTATTGATCAGTAGAGATGAAATATCATTTCAACTGACATGCAGATCCAGTTTTAAACTGGTTGTAACTTTTTAATGAATGATTCTTATGTTGGAATTCTGTAGGTCAAAGGTCGTTCACAATCCCAAGAGCCACTTCCACTCTAGTTTTTGCTAAATTAAAGCCATTTAGAGCCACTAATGTGACACAACCTTTGGAAAAAAAGATATCTTATAATTTTTGAAAAATTTCTACAGATAAACTCCCAACATTTTTAAAGAACCATTATTTTATTTCTGTTTAAAATAAACAAACAAAACATAAAAGCCTTGCAAAAAGACAATGGGAGGTTGGTATTTATGGAAAATTATATTTAAAAAAAGAAAAATAGATGGAGAAAAATAGTAGCTGCACTTTTAGAGTGATTTTATTGTGGAAATGAAAAAAATGTAAATTTAATCACAGCTGGTTCTTTATTGTTTTTTATCCTCTGTGGTTTGTTAGCAGCAAAAAGGGTTAAAAGGTTTCAGCTGCGCACTTTAAAACGTACAAATATTACAGGACAGTTTGAACACTGAAGCAAAATTAATAAACTTAACATATCTGAACATTATTCCACATTATAGCTATTGTTTTGATGAATAAAAAGCCAGAGACAGAGCAGCTGCTACTGTTTACCACTGTCAGCATGTCTGCTCCGCTCAGCCCTCAAATCCAATAGACTCTGACTCAATTAAATAGTCCAGCATATTGAATGGGAGTTTATCAATTGATTTGAGCAGAGGTAATGTGATAATGGAGGGGAACTGGATAGCATATTAGCACGAGGCCCTGACAGCGTTATCGCATTGGTTGAGTATTAGAGGCGGTTTAATCGAGCACCTGGATGAACACGTCTTCGCGTTAAGATGGAATTAATTAAGATGAGGTTTTTTCTAATCCCTCCCTTCAAACAAAACGTAACCGATCAAAGAAACGCAGCAACAAACCATGCTGAAGCCGGGACACAGTTAGCGACACCCGAGCTAACACACAAAGCCATGCTAAACAGTGCAGGGAGCAGGCCTGTCGCAATAATTATCCATCGCAAGCATTTACTGCTTTTCTACCGAAAACTGGGCGATAAAAGTTTCCGGTCTGGTGTTTTGTCTCCAATGAACCTTTTTTTGAAGGATAAATTTGTTTACAAAGGCTTTATATTTAATTTGTTGTTTCTGTTGTTTTGTTTTTCTATTTTCGATATTTAACATGTTCCAGTAATAAGAATTTATTAGAATGTAAAGTTTATTAACCTTTGATAGGCTGTTCTCACATTATTATACCATTACCATTAGATTACTAGAAAATAGCTTCAAAACAACTATAATATCATTTATCACAATAAGTTCTGGGACAAATTATCGTCCAGCGAAATGTGTTATCACGACAGGCCTAATTTCTTTCTTAAGTCCAATTTCACAGCTGCTAAGGAAACTTTAAAAGAGAGGAGAGAGGTGCCCACGTTACAATGAAAACACAGAAAGGAAACTTTAGCAGTGTCTAAAAGGCCTGCTCCTCTCACACACGCTGCGCCTTTAATGTGAAGGGTTTCCATGCAGGGAGGGCACATGTGTGTAAAACACAACAAACTCAACAAAAGAAAAGAATAAAAGATCATCCTGGGCAGGATGGGCAAAACATGGAGTCACAATGGATTGTAGAGCTTACCAGCAGTGGCAGGGTTGATGCAGTCAAAAAGGGTCCCTTTCCTTTAATTATTTACTTCCCTATCCGACATTGTCCTGCAAGAGGTAAACATACATTCATTTCAGGGACCCTTTTCTGTGAGCCAAGCAACCAGGAGCCCGTCCACTCGAGCATCGTCAGCATTGTGAATGTGGGTGAGGGGAGCGTGGAGAATTGATCGGCCGTGGCTGTCGCTGCACCGTGTTCAAACCTTCCTGTGTCTCAGTGGAAAACGGACAGTATTTTCCCCTCATATGGTTTTCTTTATGAGTGTAATGTTGGACGGAGAGCCATGTGGCGATGAATCATTATCAGTGTTTTCTGTGTTTGGGCTGCTGTGGGTGTTGAGGGGCAGAAACGGGTTTTTGTTTGGGTGCTGGTAATGATGCTCAGGTAGGCAGGCCCTTTGCAACAACATCTCCATGTCCATAAAAACACCTTCACACTGCTAATAAGCTCTAAATTAATCTGTTAAACAGGCTAAAGCTCAAGCAGTAAAGCTGACAATCCTTTTCAGACAATAGAGATGCAAACCTGGTGTCTGCGATGGAGAGTAAGGGCCAGGCTAAGAAAGAAAAATACAGGAATAAAGTCATAATGTTATGACAAGAAATCACTAATATTGTGAGAAAAAGTCTTACAGGAATAAAGTCATACTGTTATGAGAATAAACGTGAAATTATTAAATTGAAGTCGTAAAATACCAGAATAAAAACAAAACAAAAATACGAGAACAAAGTTTAACAATTCGAGAATGAACTCATAAAATTACGTGAATAAAGTTGTGAAATTTTTCCTTATTGTGACAATAATGCCGAAATAATAGAATAAAGTCACAATAATACAAGAATAAACTCAAAATATTACTAGACTGAAGTCGTAATAAAAAAAGTTGTAAGATTTTTTTTACTGAATAAAATTGTGACAATATGAAAGTAAACTCATATTGTTATTTTGGAGGAATAAATCCAAAATAATACAAGAATAAAATCATAATGTTGCTGGACTGAAATCGTATTTAAAACAAAGATTTTTTTTTTCTCGTAATATTACAAGAACAAACACATAACATTGCTAATAAAAAAGCCTAAATAAAGTATTAATTTTATAAATCCTCCACATAAATTACTAATATTTTGCTTGGTGTGAAGTTATGAATGTGTTTCAGTTCAACAGGTAAATAAATAATATTTTTACACATCAGGATTAAATCGTTCTCCGAATCAGGACTTTGAGACGATTGTGTTTTTACTTTACTAATGACTTTATCCTCATAATTAAAACACAACAACCTCTTAGCTTGGCCCTAAAACTCTGTTGTGAAAATCACGTTATTATAAAACTACCAGTTTGCTTCTTCACAAGAACTTGTAAGCAAAACTCAACGAGATTTTACTGTAATTATTTACAAAACCAAAAGAAAAAAAAGCAGCTTGTGGTCATTTTAATGACGTCGATTTAACTTGTGTTGTCAGGATAAGTGAACTGCGTCCACATTATGCCCCCTTCTCTTCATTTATCAGATTTAGATCCGCCGCTCCCCTCCGTTCCTCCATCACTCCTCTTCAGTGCGCTTCATCTTCCTCCCCCCGCTGCCTCCCTCCCTCCCAAGCGCCTCCCTGCTGGCCGGTAATGCGGCTGGCAAACCAATTCGGCGGTCTCATCTTCGCCCAGCAGACGGGGGAGGCCTCCGCGGGGAGCCCTGCAGAGGAGGCAGCCTTTCTGTCCCAGTCACCGTTAATCATCTTTAGGTTCATCTGATGGCCCTTGCCCCTGGTTCCAGTGTCGGAGCGAACGTGCGCCGATTCGTACCTAAATGTGCTCATGTTGTCTAAATGGCTCGTAATGTGTAAATGAGATGGAGAGCGGCGAGGTGTCGAACTGACGCTGCCGGTCCTTTGTCTTGGCTGTCGTTGTTATGAGCTCTTAGGTGAGTGGGAGG